TATAAGACAACTTTGAATATCGAAACGTTTCTATAAGAAAACCTTCAATGTTGAACATATTCTATAAGAAACTTTCAATGTTAAACATTTTCTATGAAAAAACTTTCAATTTGAAACTTTTCTATAAGAAAACTTTTAATATTAAAACTTTTCTATAAGCAAATTTTGTGGAACATTTTCTATAAGAAAACTTTACCTTTTTTGTGGAACATTTTCTATAAGAAAACTTTACCTTTCTTTAAGAAAACTTTCACTATTGAAACTTTTCTATAAGAAAACTTTCAATGCCGAAACGGTTCTAAAAGAATACTTTCAATGTTAAAAATTTTCTATAAGAAACTTTCAATGTTGAACATTTTATATAAGAAAACTTTCAATATTGAACCTTTTCTATAAGAAAACTTTAAATATTGAAACTTTTCTATAAGAAAATTTTCAATGTGGAATATTTTCTATAAGAAAACTTTACTTTTCTTTAAGAAAACGTTCACTATTGAAACGATTCTAAAAGAATGTTTTCAATATTTAACATTTTCTTTAAAAAACTTTCAATGTTGAACATTTTCTATAAGAAAAATTTCAATATTGAACCTTTTGTATAAGAAAATTTTTAATATTGAACATTTTCTATAAGAAAACTTTCAATATTGAACATTTTCTATAAGAAAACTTTCAATATTGAAAGTTTTCTATCAGAAAATTTTCAATGTGGAACATTTTCTATAAGAAAACTTTACCTTTCTTTAGGAAAACGTTCACTATTAAAATTTTTCTATAAGAAAATGTTCAATGTTGAACATTTTCTATAAGAAACTTTCAATGTTGAAAATTTTCCATAAGAAAACTTTCAATATTGAACCTTTCCTATAAAAAAACTTTCAATATTGAACCTTTTCTATAAGAAAACTTTTAATATTGAAACTTTTCTATAAGAAAACTTTCAATATTGAACATTTTCTATAAAAAAACATTTAATATTGAAACTTTTCTATGAGAAAACATTTAATATTGAAAATTTTTCTATAAGAAAACTTTCAATATTAAACATTTTCTATAAGAAAACTTTCAATATTAAACATTTTCTATAAGAAAACTTTCAATATTGAACATTTTCTATAAGAAAACATTCAATATTGAAACTTTTTTATAAGAAAACATTTAATATTGAACATTTTCTATAAGAAATCTTTCAACATTGAAACTTTTTTATAAGAAAACATTTAATATTGAACACTTTCTATAAAAAACTTTAAATATTGAATATTTTCTATAAGAAAACTTTTAATATTGAACATTTTCTATAAGAAAACATTCAATATTGAACATTTTCTATAAGAAAACTTTCAATATTAAAACTATTCTATGAGAAAACTTTAATCTTTATACATTTAAAGTTTCTATAAAGAAACTATTTTCAATATTTTCATTATTTATAAATAGTTCACAACAGAACAGTTTCTATTCCCAACATATTTCAAAAAGTACCAATGTATTATGTTTAAAAGATACGTTTTTGTCTTTCATAGCCTAACACCACTTCCCAATATTATTGAAGAGTTTTCCAAAGAGAATTTTTTCTCAAAGTAAACTCTCTTACTTGATAAATACTGTTTGCTTTAAAAGAGAAAATAAAACCAATATACATATCTCTCTTACAGTATTAACCCATTGTTAAATAATTTTTCTTGAATTTAATTTTAATGCTCTTAAATAAACAAATAATTGAATTATTGATAAAAGCATTCCATATATGTACAATAAACAAACAAATAAATAAACAATTCACATGATAAATTAACTTAATAACAAGACTAAGAGTGCAAATACTATATTTTATTTATAAAACGAAATAAAAGTCATTTACTAATGTTATTAGATTTTGAAAGTATTTTATTTAAGTATAATAAACTAAATTTTTTTTATATACATTTTAAATAGATAAATCATTTAAGAAAAATTTGTATCCCTCTTTTACAAAATTTCTCTCATAAATTTTAAAATTATCATTAACCATACCCCACCCCTTTATATTACAACTAACACCCAAACAACATAAAACTTACATTTTTTAAACAATGTCGCCGGTTCATAAAATTCATTCTTGTTCTTCTTCAAGTTTTATTTATTGTCTACCACTTTAGAACAAATAAACACACAAACAAATAAAAACTCAACTAAAGAAATACATAAATATAAAAAAAGAAGAAAACTCTAAAAGATTCTAAATAAAAACATGTCTCCATACATGACCTACCCCAGCATAAGTGTCTATTACAATGGTAATGGCGTCAACATGTTACCACCAAAAAATTTTTATAAATATTTACCACAAACGACAACAACAACAATTGTAACAACACTCTAAAAAAAGAAGAAAACAAAACAAATAACTCAACTCAAAACGACCAAAAACAAACAAACTTTATTTTACTACGTACACTCGACACAGTTAAACACATACCCTAATACTCTTGTATTTGTATACATACATACGTTTGTATACTTGTGTAAAATTTCACTGTCAGTTTGGGGGGAAGTGGGGTGTTCTTATTTTACTTTCATTAGCGGTGAAGGTGAGTTTTTAAAATATGCATAAATATTATTTTATTGGTAGGAATTTCTTTAAATGACAAGAAAAAGTATTTGTGAGAATGTGTGTGTATAAGTGCATATATATGTTTGTTTTTGTATGACCAAAACAAATTTTAAGTGCTTTTAAGAATTTTGCATACATTTTTGCCTCTCAAACAAATTTACAGTAAGTCCGGAAAGTCTTTTGACAATTTTTATATAAAAAAAAAAAAATAAATATTAGATTGTTTTCATAGAAAAATTTCGACATTGATAATTTTCTTATAGAAAAATTTCGATAGAAAAGTTTCAATATTTAAAATTTTAATTAAAGTTTGCACTATTGAAAGTTTTCTTATAGAAAATTTTCTAAAAGCAAACATTCAATGCTTTTGGAAAATATTCAATATTGAAATTTTTCTATAGAAAGTTTTCAATGCTGAAATTTTTCTTATAGAAAATTTTCAATATTGAAAGATTTCTTATAGCAAATATTTAATATTAAAAGTTTTCTTATAGTAAATTGAATTTTCTATAAAAAACTTTTCTATTTTGAAAATTTTATTTAAGAAAACTTTAAATATTGAAACTTTTCTATAAGAAAACATTCAAAATTTAAAACTTTCTGTAAAAAAAAAACTTTCAACATTGAACAATATTGAACATTTTCTATAAGAGAACTTTCAACAGTGAAAATTATATATAAGAAAACTTTCAATATTTAAATTTTTCTATAGGAAAACTTTCAGTATTGAATATTTTCTATAGGAAAACTTTCAATATTTAAATTTTTCTATAGGAAAACTTTCAATATTGAAAATTTTCTATAGAAAAACTTTCAATATTGAACATTTTCTATAGAAAAATTTTCAATATTGAACATTTTCTATAGCAAAACTTTCAATATTGAAAATTTTTTATAGGAAAACTTTTAATATTGAAAATTTTCTATAGGAAAACTTTCAATATTAAAAATTTTCTATAGGAAAACTTTCAATATTGAAAATTTTCTAAAGGAAAACTTTCAATATTTAAATTTTTCTATAGGAAAACTGTCAGTATTGAAAATTTTCTATAGGAAAACTTTCAATAATGAACATTTTCTATAGCAAATCATTCAATATTTAAAATTTTTTATTAAAAAAAACTTTTAATATTGAAAATTTTCTATAAGAAATCTTTCAAGAGTGAAAAATATCTATAAGAAAAGTTTTAATATTGAAAATTTTCTTAAAGAAATTTTGCAATTGTGGAAAGGAAAATTTCAATATTGAAAGATTTCTTATAACAAATTTTCAATATCAAAGTTTTTTCAATATTAAGTTTTCTTATATTAACTGTAATTTTCAATAAGAAAACTTTCAATGCTGAAAATTTTCTATAGAAAATCTTTCAATATTGAAAATTTTCTTAGGAAATCTTTCAAAATTTAAAATTTTCTATGGGAAAACTTTAAATTTTCTATAGGAAATCTTTCAATATTGAAAACTTTGAAAATAGAAAATTTTCTTTCAATAGTGAAAAGAAAATTTTCAATATTGAAAGATTTCTTATAACAAATTTTCAATATAAAAAGTTTTCTTATAGTAACTGGAATTTTCTATAAGAAAACATTCAATGTAGAAAATTTTCTGTAGAAAATCTTTCAATATTGAAAATTTTCTATAGGAAAACTTTCAATTTTCTATAGGAAATCTTTCAATATTTAAATTTTCTTTAAGAAAACTTTGAAAATAGAAAATTTTCTATAAGAAAAAAAAATCTATAAAAAAATTTCAATATTGAACAATATTAAACATTTTCTGTAAAAAAATTTTCAATATTGAAAATTTTCTATATTAAAACTTTAAATATTGAAAATTTTCTATAAAAAAACTTTCAGTATTTAAAATTTTCTATAAAAAACTTTCAGTATTGAAAATTTTTAGAAAGAAATTTTTTCAATACTGAAAATTTTTTATAAGAAAACATTCAATATTAAAATTTTTAGTACTTTTTTTGTCCTTTAACTGGTACTTTTTGAATTTTTTGTAATATTGGACGTAAGATGGAACTTTTTGGTACTTTTGTTGTTCGTCAACTTGTACTTATTGAATTTTCTAAAATTTTTCACCTAGAAACCTAAAATTAAGCACTCAGCATCCTAAGTGAATGAGAATCTATAAGAGTGAATATTTTCGTTGTTTAAGTGTTACTGGTACTTTTATACTTTAGCAAAGTAAAGTTTGTTTTAATTTTATTTCGATTATGGTAGAGAAACACCCAGGGTACGCTAATACTTTATTTATGGTTAAAACATTTGAAATATTTGATACTTTTCGGACTTATTAAAAAATATCCAAAACGTAAAGGATCTCATCTGCCATAGAAAAATGGAAACATATCGAGAAATCTACAATAGAACATCATCGAAGTATAACCCATATGTCTCATCCAAAGATTTGTTGCAGTACAGCAATAACAATGAGGCATATGACGCCCATTAGAACTGCTATCATTAGAGGAGGACAATGATATAGAACTGGTATGAAGTTTTTGTGGTATTTTCTTTGCTTTCTATGACGTCCACGAGAATGAGAACGAAAACGGCTGGTATGTGGCTTATGATGGCCATGATGTTTGTGCAACTTTCCACATCCTCGTGAGTTGGAGCGAGAACGTAAACGACTTGCACAGGGCTTATAATGTGCATGATGCTTCTTTACCTCAACATCAGAATGACGTACTCGCGAGTTTGAGCGAGAACGTGAATGGTGCAACTTTCTATGACCATGACGTCCTCGTGAGTTGGAACGATAATGTGAAGGACTTGCACAGTGCCTATGATGTTCTTTATGCTTCTTTACCTCAATATCTGAATGTCGTCCTCGTGAGTTGGAGCGAGAACGTGAACGACTTGCTTGATACTTGTGATGACCATCATGTTTGTCCAACTTTCTATGACCATAACGTCCTCGTGAGTTGCAGCGAGATCGCGAACAACTTGCGCAACGCTTATGATTACCATGATGTTTGTTCAACTTTCCATGACCATGACGTCCTCGTGACTTGGAGCGAGATTGCGAACGACTTGCGCAACGCTTATGATGTCCATGGTACATTTTTGCCTCAACATCGGAATGACGTCCTTGTGAGTTGGAGCGATAACGTGAACGACTGGAGCAACGTTTATGATGGCCATGATGTTTTGTCTCAACTTCAGAATGACTTCCACGAGATTGAGAACGAGAACGGGAACGACTGGCATGTTGCTTCTGGTGACCATGATGTTTGTTTACCTCAATTTCAGAATGACCTCCAAGAGAGTGAGAACGAGATCGAGAAAGACTTACATGTCTTTTATGATGAGCATGTTGTTTGTTTAACTTTTCATGGTCATGGCGGTCTCGTGAATTGGAATGAGAACTCGAACAACTTGCTTGTCGCTTATGACCATGACAGGCATCTCCCTTCTGGTGACCACGATGTTTGTTTACCCCAATTTCAGAATGACGTCCAAGAGAGTGAGAACGAGATCGGGAACGACTGACATGTCTTTTACGGTGAACATGATGTTTGTTTAACATTTCATAGTCATTGCGGCCATCACTATCACTAAAACTCGAACCAGAACTAGAGCTAGAACTAGTACCACTTCTGGTGCTATCACTGCTAACACTTGATACCGAATGTGAACGATGGTGATGACCATGCTTTTTCTTCTTATAATCTATCTTCTCCTTCTTATGTATTTCCTTGGTCAAATCATCTACCGCTTCCTGAAACTTTTGTTGAGCCTTAAAAGACTTTTTCATGGCTTTTGTATATTGCTTATCGCAATCCTTTGCATTGGAAGAGTTAGGTTCTTCCTGCTGGCATTCATCCTCCAGAATAATGGTTGAACACACCGAAATCGAACAATTTTTAATCGTTGATATCTGCAGAACTAATTGTCCAATTAAAATTAAATTTTGGATTTGAATAGCCTAATTTTATTCCAATAAATTTATCGTATCCGTGCAAAATAAGTTTTCTCTCACTAAGCTCTGAAGCAATTTTTTTCAAATCCATTTATTGGAATAAAATTAGGAGATTATAGGCTATTCCAATCCAAATTTTTATTCAAATGGGTCAATTAGTTTTGTAGATATATATTAACGATTAAAAATTTTTCGATTTTGGCGTGATCAACCTTTATTGTCATAACACTAAACAATCACTGGTGTTTCACGATCCACCATAGGAATTTAGTTTTCATTCATTTTAGTAATTTCCTTTTCACTTTTCTTTACATCTTTTCGTTTTGTTATGAAATTATATTCATTTGTTTGTAATTTTGTTTTATTTTATTTATTTAAATTGTTTTTATTCGCTTTATTTTGTTTCACTTTATGTTGTTCACACAACTAATACTTAAGTTGTAACAACTGCTTTTGTTGTCCAGGCTTTTTATAGCATACATACGCAATGATTTGTTTTTTTATTGATAAACCAACAATTAGGGAATACCCCTATAAATAGAGTGCATGGTGTTGATGTTAGAAAGTAAAGATGATAGAAGGAGGGAAGAGTAAACCAGTAAACGTTTAAAAACGTATGAGTATTATTTTGTTATTTACTCATCACTCATACTCCTACATAATTTTTCTCTTTTTTGAAAATTTTCTTATAATATAATTTCAACATTAAAAATTTGTTCATAAAGCAACAACAACGAAATGTTGGAATTTAATTATTTTTTTGGGACATTATTTCACATTTAAAATGGGGAGATATTTATACATATTTGATGGCCGGCCTTCGGCCGGGCGCAAAAATTTTATCATCTGGGGTATATTGGACACCGGCTTTGCTAAGAATACACTCTCCGTGTATCAAGAGCGTTCGGCCTTAGGCCGGCTATTTATAAAATCTTTACTAAGCGATGCCGGTGTTGGACATATTATAGAGTGGCAAATTCTTGCGTACTGCCATAGGCCGGATATTTAGGAAATATTTATTAAGCGAAACCGCATATCTCCGGTATTTATGGACCGATTTTGCTGGTTTTAAATAGCGATCTTCTCGAAAGCATGTCTAACAGAATTATTGAAGATTTGGATCTCGCCGATATCTGGGGTCCTCTAAAAACTGATTTCAACAAACACACAGACGGACAGACAGATGGACAGACGGACAGACGGACAGACAGACATACAGACATACTTTATGGGGTCGGAAAATTATATTATAGAAATTACAAACGGAATGACAAACTTATATATACCCTTCTCACGAAGGTGAAGGGTATAATTAGGGATTTGTTTCATATGAAATAAATCCCCAAAAATAGGGTGTTATTTCATTTTAATTTACGGAGTTATTTCGTTGGGGCTTTTATTCATTTTTAAATTGGGGAATTATTTCATAATGAAATTTGAGGAGTTATTTAATTTTTGTTATTTCATGACGCCACAAATTTTCAATATTGATAATTTTCTTATAAAAAATTTTAATTATTGAACATTTTGTAAGAGAAACATTTCATTATTGAACATTTTCTTAAGGAATAATTTCGATATTATTAAGACATTGAATATTTTCTTCTAAAATAATTTTGAGATTGAAAATTTTCTTATAGAAAACAGAGTATTTCCGTTGATTTTGTTAGTGTAGTGTATAAATTTATTAAAACATTTTGCAAATGCAATAATACAAGACCATTTGCACTAGATCGTGAATTAAACTATTGTGTTTTGTAGATAATTCTAGATAACTAAAAAATCGAATTATTTTCCTGTGATTCATCAAGAACATTTATTTTCTCTTTACTCAATAATCAATTCATGAAATATATATGTATATATACATATATAAAGGCTTAAATATAAAATGATAACATTTTTTAATAAGGAAGCAGCCAAAGATTTTGATATCAATATTTAGAGGTATTTGCAAGGTATTAAAATTTTCTATTTTTTTTAATTTTTCTGTGGGATGATGAAGAAGTAAATTATAAATTATGATTGATAACCTGTGATTATACCCATTATAGCCCGGTGATAAATATTAGAAAAATCAAATTTTGATTTTTTTTTTTTTTTGCGAATTACACACTGCTAATTTGAAATAAATTAGCAACAATTTACTAATCCCTTAAGGATTTAGCTCGCTTTTTATATAAAATAAAACATCAATTTTAAAAGTGTATTTATGATTTTTTTTTATTATTTTATTATTTTACAACTTAATAACTAAACAATAGTGCAGTTCTTTTTTATATTTTTTTGGTTATGTATAATATTAATACTTAGATCGGTTAATATGTTAATATTTCAAATATTTGATACATTTCGGCCTTATTAAAAATATCCAAAACGTGAAAGATCGCTTCTGCCATAGAAATCTGGCATCATATGGGGAAATCTGCGATCAAACATCATTGAAGGATAACCCATATGAAAATGTCTCATCCAAGGATTTGTTGTAGTACGGCGGTAAGAATGAGACATATTACGTTCATCGGAACTGCTATCACTAGAGGATGATGAAGAACTGGTATCATGTTTTATATTACATTTCCTTTGTTGTCTATGGCAATGATCATGTTTTCTACCTCTTGAATTAGAACGAGAACGAGAATGTTTTCTTTCTTGTTTAGTAGAAGTAACTTTACATTTGTTATTGTCACGGGAATGAGAGCGAGAACGAGAACGGCTAGCAGGACGTTGTTGATAACTACAATGTCCACGAGAGTGAGAACGGGATCGACATTTTGAGTGACGTCCACGAGAATACGACCGGGAACGAGAACGACAGGCATAACGCTTATGATGGCCATGATGTTTGTTTAACTTTCCATGGCAACCTCGTGAATTGCTTCGAGAACGTGAACGACTTGCACAGCGCTTATGATGGCCATGGTGTTTGTTTACCTCCACTTCGGAATGACATCCACGAGAGTGAGAACGAGAACGGGAACGACTGACTTGACGTTTATGATGGCCATGATGTTTGAGCAACTTTCCATGACCATGACGTCCTCGTGAGTTGGAGCGACTTGGCGAACGACTTGCACAACGCTTATGATGCTTTTTTGCTTCAACATCAGAATGACGTCCTCGTGAGTTGGAGCGAGAACGTAAACGACTTGCATGAATATAATGATGGCTATGATGTTTGTGTAACTTTCCATAACCAGGACATGTTCGTGAGTTGGAGCGAGAACGTGAACGACTTGCATGGCGCTTATGATGGCCATGATGTTTGTGCGACTTTCCACGATCATGACGTCCTCGTGAGTTGGAGCGAGAACGGGAACGACTTCTACACCGCTTTTTTACCTCAACATCAGATTGGCGTCCTCGTGAATTGGAGCGAGAACGTGAACGACTTGAATGGCGCTTATGATGGCCATGACCATGACGTCCTCGTGAATTGGAGCGAGAACGTGAACGACTTGCACAACGCCTATGATGTCCATGATGCTGTTTTAACTCAACATCAGAATGACGACCTCGTGAATTGGTGCGAGAACGTGAACGACTTGCATGACGCTTATGATGGCCATGATGTTTGTGCAACTTTCCATGACGTCCTCGTGAATTGGAGCGAGAACGTGAATGACTTGCACAACGCCTATGATGTCCATGATGCTGTTTTACCTCAACATCAGAGTGACGTCCTCGTGAATTGGAACGAGAACGCGAACGACTTACTTGTCGCTTATGCTGCTCCTTTAGTTTGTCAGATCGACAATGACGTGATCTTGTTTTTGATTCACATCTTCCGTATAGGAAACATGGCGGAACTGACGAAGCTCTACAACGTGAGTTGGAACGGGAACGACTCCTCGAGCGTTCGCGTTGATGCCTCGGCCCCATGCAGGGGCCGGATGGCCGAAAAAACTGAGCATATTCGAACATACCATGGGTTGGAAATCCACGATGATGTGGAGGGCCGCCATGATGGTGAAATCCTCCATGGTGTGGGAAACCTCCATGATGGGGAAAACCACCATGATGACCAAAATTATGTCCAGGTCCTTCATGGTGAGGATAGCCTCCATGATAAACAGGACATTCATGGCGTGAGGGACCACCATGATATGTGAATCTTTCACTACAAGGACATCTATTATGTTCTCGAGAATGACTTCTAGAACGAGAACGGTTTCTGTGACCATGGTGATGTTTACGACCATGTTTATGATTCAAATGCTTGCGGTGACCATGACAGGGAACAAACTCCATTTCACTATCACTAGAACTTGAACTAGAACTAGTGCCAGAACTAGTACCACTACTGGTGCCATCACTGCTAGCACTTGATACCGAACGTGAGCGATGGCGATGAACATGCTTCTTACCCTTCCTACGTTCTTTCTTCTCCTTCTTATGCATTTCTTTGGCCAAATCATCCACCGCTTTCTGTAACTTTTGTTGAGCCTTAAAAGCCTTTTTTATAGCTTTTGAATATTGCTTATGACAATCCTTTGGTTTCGCATTGGAAGAGTGAGGTTCTTCCTGCTGGCACTCATCCTCCAGAATATTGCCACAACACTCAACAATCACTGGTGGCTCACGATCCTCCAGATGAATTTGATTTTCACTTTCACTCATTTTTATATTTTACTTTTCACTTTTCTTTACTTATTTTCGTTTTATTATGAAATTATTTTCTTTTGTTTCTAGTTTCGTTTTATTTTATTTATTTAAATTGTTTTATTCGCCTTATTCTGTTTTCACTTTATGTTGTTCACACAACTAACACTTAAGTTGTAATAACTGCTTTTGTTGTGCCGGCATTTGCCTTTTATAGTCTCCCTCTCTCTATCACTGTATACATATTTTTATCATGAGTGCTAATTGTTTTGATCCAACATTTTCTTATCGTTTTGTTGTTATATACGTAAACGTTTACAAACGTATGAGTATTATTTTGTTATTTATTCATCACTCATACTCCTGCATAATTTGTCTCTATTTGATTGTAAACGTTTACAAACGGTAATTTTGAGAATGGCACGCGCTTTATCAGACAAATTAATAATGAGACCCCCTGGATTAACTTGTTAGTAAACAAAATTATTTTGTTTTTAAATTCAATTGACTTTTTTGTTGTGGTTTAAAGAAAATTATAGAAAATTTTTTTAGTTTTTTTTTTTAATTTCATCAATTTATTCTAAAATTAGTTTAGTCTCCATTGATCACGTCATCATATTTCAACTGGAATATAACAATATTTCATGAATTGCTTTTGAGGATGTGTTTCCCCGGAAAATTAATTCAGGGATATTTAGAAAATGATAACATTTTACACGAGCAAGTCTAGTCTATAGTATAGTCTCTAGTCTAGCATATAGTATACTATTAAGTCTAGTCTATAGTATAGTCTCTAGTCTAGCCTATATTATATTATTTAGTCTAGTCTATAGTCTAGTCTATAGTCTAGTCTATAGTCCAGTCTATAGTCTAGTCTATAGTCTAGTCTATAGTCTAGTCTATTGTCTAGTCTATAGTCTAGTCTATAGTCTAGTCTATAGTCTAGTCTATAGTCTAGTCTATAGTCTAGTCTATAGTCTAGTCTATAGTCTAGTCTATAGTCTAGTCTATAGTCTAGTCTATAGTCTATTCTATAGTCTAGTCTATAGTCTAGTCTATAGTCTAGTCTATAGTCTAATCTATAGTCTAGTCTATAGTCTAGTCTATAGTCTAGTCTATAGTCTAGTCTATAGTCTAGTCTATAGTCTAGTCTATAGTCTAGTCTATAATCTATTCTATAGTATATTCTATAGCCTAGACTATGGTCTAGTCTATAGTCGAGTCCATGGTCTAGTCTATATTCTATTCTATTCTCTATTATATAGCATCTATAGTCCATTCTATAGTCTAGTCTACGTGCAAAATGAAGGCATGCAAATGAACCATGGCTCTTCAAATATAGCTTATAGGATTGAAAAGTATAGTATAGGATAATCGAAAGAGATTGGTAGAGATCAGGAGTATACAGATTTCAAAACAGATGCTTACAATTGTTGTGATTCTTTCATAATAGTTTACATATGGATTAGATATATTGCAAAAAATAACCGGCACCTAGATAACTTATTAAACATGCAAACATTCATTATAAAACACACGTCTACCTTATCAGTAAACTGATACCTAAACGTTTATAAACGTTTACTAGATCCAATGACTCATCAATACTTACACTAAAGATAATAATTTTAAACACAATATTAATTATATTACATAATAGCAAATATTTAAATTTTAATAAAATTTCGCAATTTATTTAATATACTACGTAATGATTTTTATTCTTTATATAAAGGATTATGATTTAGTTTATTTCTAATTACAGTTTAGTTTATAAACCAGTCTATAGTATAGCCTATAGTCTAGTCTATACTCTAGTCTATAGTCAAGTCTATATTCGAGTCTATATTCTAGTCTATAGTCTAGGGCAATTTGGCTCAGTCTAATCTATAGTCTAGTCAATAGTCTAGTCAATCGTCTAGTCTACAGTCTAGTCTATAGTCTAGTCAATAGTCTAGTCAATAGTCTAGTCAATAGTCTAGTCAATAGTCTAGTCTATAGTCTAGTCTATAGTCTAGTCTATAGTTGTCTAGTCTATAGTCTAGTCTATAGTCTAGTCTATAGTCTAGTCTATAGTCTAGTCTATAGTCTAGTCTATAGTCTAGTCTATAGTCTAGTCTATAGTCTAGTCTATAGTCTAGTCTATAGTCTAGTCTATAGTCTAGTAGTCTAGTTATAGTCTAGTCTATAGTCTAGTCTATAGTCTAGTCTATAGTCTAGTCTATAGTCTAGTCTATAGTCTAGTCTATAGTCTAGTCTATAGTCTATAGTCTAGTCTATAGTCTAGTCTATAGTCTAGTCTATAGTCTAGTCTATAGTCTAGTCTATAGTCTAGTCTATAGTCTAGTCTATAGTCTAGTCTATAGTCTAGTCTATAGTCTAGTCTATAGTCTAGTCTATAGTCTAGTCTATAGTCTAGTCTATAGTCTAGTCTATAGTCTAGTCTATAGTCTAGTCTATAGTCTATCTAGTCTATAGTCTAGTCTATAGTCTAGTCTATAGTCTAGTCTATAGTCTAGTCTATAGTCTAGTCTATAGTCTAGTCTATAGTCTAGTCTATAGTCTAGTCTATAGTCTAGTCTATAGTCTAGTCTATAGTCTAGTCTATAGTCTAGTCTATAGTCTAGTCTATAGTCTAGTCTATAGTCTAGTCTAGTCTAGTCTATAGTCTAGTCTATAGTCTAGTCTATAGTCTAGTCTATAGTCTAGTCTATAGTCTAGTCTATAGTCTAGTCTATAGTCTAGTCTATAGTCTAGTCTATAGTCTAGTCTATAGTCTAGTCTAGTCTAGTCTATAGTCTAGTCTATAGTCTAGTCTAGTCTATAGTCTAGTCTATAGTCTAGTCTATAGTCTAGTCTATAGTCTAGTCTATAGTCTAGTCTATAGTCTAGTCTATAGTCTAGTCTATAGTCTAGTCTATAGTCTAGTCTATAGTCTAGTCTATAGTCTAGTCTATAGTCTAGTCTATAGTCTAGTCTATAGTCTAGTCTATAGTCTAGTCTACAGTCTAGTCTATAGTCTAGTCTATAGTCTAGTCTATAGTCTAGTCTATAGTCTAGTCTATAGTCTAGTCTTCTAGTCTATAGTCTAGTCAATAGTCTAGTCAATAGTCTAGTCAATAGTCTAGTCAATAGTCTAGTCTATAGTCTAGTCTATAGTCTAGTCTATAGTCTAGTCTATAGTCTAGTCTATAGTCTAGTCTATAGTCTGGTCTATAGTCTAGTCTATAGTCTAGTCTATAGTCTAGTCTATAGTCTGGTCTATAGTCTAGTCAATAGTCTCGTCAATAGTCTAGTCAATAGTCTAGTCAATAGTCTAGTCTATAGTCTAGTCTATAGTCTAGTCTAGTCTATAGTCTAGTCTATAGTCTAGTCTATAGTCTAGTCTATAGTCTAGTCTATAGTCTAGTCTATAGTCTAGTCTATAGTCTAGTCTATAGTCTAGTCTATAGTCTAGTCTATAGTCTAGTCTATAGTCTAGTCTATAGTCTAGTCTATAGTCTAGTCTATAGTCTAGTCTATAGTCTAGTCTATAGTCTAGTCTATAGTCTAGTCTATAGTCTAGTCTATAGTCTAGTCTATAGTCTAGTCTATAGTCTAGTCTATAGTCTACTAGTCTAGTCTAGTCTAGACTATAGATAGTACTATAGTCTAGTCTATAGTCTAGTCTATAGTCTAGTCCTATAGTCTGGTCTATAGTCTAGTCTATAGTCTAGTCTATAGTCTAGTATATAGTCTAGTATATAGTCTAGTCTATAGTCTAGTCTATAGTCTAGTCTATAGTCTAGTCTATAGTCTATAATCTAGTCTATAGTCTAATCCATAGGCTAGTCCATATTCTAGTCCATATTCTAGTCTATAGTCAGTCTATAGTCTAGTCTATAGTCTAGCCTATAGTCTAGTCTATAGTCTAGTCTATAGTCTAGTCTATAGACTAGTCTATAGTCTAGTCTATAGTCTAGTCTATAGACTATCTATAGTCTAGTCTATAGTCTAGTCTATAGTCTAGTCTATAGTCTAGTCTATAGTCTAGTCTATAGTCTAGTCTATAGTCTATTCTATAGTCTAGTCTATAGTCTAGTCTATAGTCTAGTCTATAGTCTAGTCTAGTCTAGTCTAGTCTATAGTCTAGTCTATAGTCTAGTCTATAGTCTAGTCTATAGTCTAGTCTATAGTCTAGTCTATAGTCTAGTCTATAGTCTAGTCTATAGTCTAGTCTATAGTCTAGTCTATAGTCTAGTTTATAGTCTAGTCTATAGTCTAGTTTATAGTCTAACCTATAGTCTAGTCTATAGTCTAGTCTATAGTCTAGTCTAGAGTCTAGTCTTTAGTCTAGTCTATAGTCTGGTCTATAGTCTAGTCTATAGTCTAGTGTATTAATTATTTAGTTAGTTAGTTTTGAAAGGAGGATGTATATACATCAAATCCGAAGAAATACACCTAGGCCTCTATCAGGCCTGTTGTGCGCTCCTTAACCAGTGCCTCAGGTGGGAATCGAACCCATCACCTCCTGTCTACCAGACTAGAACACTAACCACTATCCTACCGTAGGCCACTAGTCTAGTCTATAGTCTAGTCTTTAGTCGAACCTAGTCTATAGTCTATATATATAGTATAAATATATATACATATATACATACATATATTATAAACTTATACAATTTCAATTTCATCATATCTGTAGAAAAAATATATTTATGGTACTCAGTGTAAAATCACTATACTTTTTTAAACGTTTGAGTGCGTCGTTGCTCACTGTCCAGATAAGAGAGCTAACGCCATTCGTTTGTAAACGTTTAGCAGCCGGTATAAAAGCAAAAAGCCGGCATAACATCAACAACAGTTCAGTGTAGTCAGTGATTGGGTGAACTAACTAAAATATATTTAAAATAAAGAGCAAAATAAGAGAACAAATTATTTAAAATAATAAATAAAATTAATTAAATTCAAGAGTAAAAAATATATAAATAAAATGAGTGCAAGTGAAAAACAAACAGCCATGGATCATGAAGAACCAATGGTGGGGGAAATAAATCAAACAGAAATTCATTGTGTTGACAATGAACCTGTAGATAATATGAAAAGATTTGAAAAAGCCATGAAAAAGGCACATAAAGCTCAAAAAATGTTGCAAAAGGTCATGGATGAATTGGCACGAGAAATGCATAAGAATAAGTGCAAAAAAAAAAATAAAAAAATGGGTGAAAAACGTAGACATCACTCGAGATCACCTGATGTTCAAGATGATGCATCAAGTGATTCCAGCAGTGACACCAGTTCCAGCTCTAGTTCCAGTTCAAGTTCCAGTGATAGTGAGGTAGAGTTTGTTTCATGCCATTATGGCGGTAGAGGACATGGTGGTCATTATCACCATCATCATCATAATGACAAACATATGAAGAAACATCATCATGGTCGTGGACATAGTCATGGTCACGGTCATAGTGGTGTCAGACACCATCATGGCCGCCGTGATCGTTCTCGTTCCAGAAATCGTGATCGTTGTCGTTCTCGTGGCCATTCCAGAGGTCATTCTCGTGGTCACTCTAGAGGACGTTCTCGTGGCTATTCCGCCACTCGCGATGGTTATCAACAAATTCCATCAATTGGTGGCGCCCGCTGTGGTACTGCCAACTCAACTGGAACTATTGAAGATCGTTTGCCATTAGCTTTAACGCTATAATTGTGAAATAGTTAATAGCTGTAAATATCGTTCTAAATATTTATATACACTTGTAGAAATAGAATTTCATCATAATTGCACTGTACACTAGATTAACTTTTTTAATTGTCATGTAAGTAAATAATATACATATATATAGATTTAGTAAAAAAAATAAAATTATAAAAAATAATAAAAAATATCAAAATGAAAAAAACAAAAATGTTTTTAATTTATTTAAAATTTACGAGCTAAATCTTAAATGGATTAGTGAATTGTTGCTGGTTTTTTAAGAAAAAAAAAAACAGCAGTGCGAAATTCGTAAATACAAATAGGCCGATTCGGAGTATCGTTTAATGATTCAAAAACCATTAAAAAAATTTAGATTTTTTAAATGAAATAAATAAAGTTAAATTTTAAGTAATTTCCTTAATTTAATTTCATATTATTTTCTGGACTATGATCGGTTTAGAATTACTTTCGAAAACTGCACACTGAGATAAAAAATAGAAATATTTTGGAAATAAATCTGCTAGTGTGTCAAAAATATATGTGGGCGTTATATCGATATTTATAACGTAATATTTTCTAAAAGGTGTCTTTATGAATATGATTTTAAAATTTGTAATTTGGGTTTAAGCTAGTATTGAAAATCTAGATATTTCCCATTTTATCTTTGAAAGTATTTTACAAGCCATTGTATTACATGTAGACTAAGTGGTCAAAATAACATTTTGTAATCACACCTATTTCGCATTCCGATTATGTTTACGCATTCAGTTACGCAACGATCGAAAAAAGGTATTCCAACAAAAAACCATTTAAATACTTTACGATTGTGTGTATTGTGCAACGTAGCAACTTACGTAGCTACGTTTTTGAAAGTTGTTGCTTATTAGGGTTCTATAAATCGACTTTCGAATAATCGAACAATCGACTTTTTGTCGAAGAAACTCGAAAAGTCGAAGTCGACTATTTTGTTCCAAAAAAGTCGATAACTCGACTATGGTCTGTGAAAAAAGTCGAAAAGTCGACTTTGTTAATAAAAGTCGAAAAAAGTCGAAAAGTCTGAAAGTCGATAAGTCGAAAAAGGTCGAAAAAAGTCGATAAGTCGAAAAGGTCGAATAAAGTCGAAAAAGTCGAAAAAAGTCGAAAAGTCGTAAAAAGTCGGAAAAAGTCGAAAAATCGGAAAAAGTCGAAAACTCGAAAAAAATAGTCGAAAATCTTAAAAAAAGTGGAAAAAAGTCAAAAACTCTAAAATTGTCGGAAAAACTCGAAAAAGTCAAAAAATAGTCGAAAAAAGTCGAAAAAATCGAAAAGTCGGAAAAAGTGAAAAAATCGACTTTTCATAAAATGCAAAAAGTCGAGAAGTCGACTTTTAACTAAATGAAAAAAAAAATTTATTTCACTTTTAAGTTGGAAAGTATGTATAAAAATTTCGAATTTGGAAATTTTCTAAAAAAGAAAAGTTACCAAAAAGTTAGTTAGTTAGTTAGTTAGTTAGTTAGTTAGTTAGTTAGTTAGTTAGTTAGTTAGTTAGTTAGTTAGTTAGTTAGTTAGTTAGTAGTTAGTTAGTTAGTTAGTAGTTAGTTAGTTAGTTAGTTAGTTAGTTAGTTAGTTAGTTAGTAGTTAGTTAGTAGTTAGTTAGTAGTTAGTTAGTTAGTTAGTTAGTAGTTAGTTAGTAGTTAGTTAGTAGTTAGTTAGTTAGTAGTTAGTTAGTTAGTTAGTTAGTTAGTTAGTTAGTTAGTTAGTTAGTTAGTTAGTAGTTAGTTAGTTAGTAGTTAGTTAGTTAGTTAGTTAGTTAGTTAGTAGTTAGTTAGTTAGTTAGTTAGTTAGTTAGTTAGTTAGTTAGTAGTTAGTTAGTTAGTTAGTTAGTTTAGTTAGTTAGTTAGTTAGTTAGTTAGTTAGTTAGTTAGTTAGTTAGTTAGTTAGTTAGTTAGTTAGTTAGTTAGTTAGTAGTTAGTTAGTTAGTTAGTTAGTTAGTTAGTAGTTAGTTAGTTAGTTAGTTAGTTAGTTAGTTAGTTAGTTAGTTAGTTAGTTAGTTAGTTAGTAGTAGTTAGTTAGTTAGTTAGTTAGTTAGTTAGTTAGTTAGTAGTAGTTAGTTAGTTAGTTAGTTAGTTAGTTAGTAGTTAGTTAGTTAGTTAGTTAGTTAGTTAGTTAGTTAGTTAGTTAGTTAGTTAGTTAGTTAGTTAGTTAGTTAGTTAGTTAGTTAGTTAGTTAGTTAGTTAGTTAGTTAGTTAGTTAGTTAGTTAGTTAGTTAGTTAGTTAGTTAGTTAGTTAGTTAGTTAGTTAGTTAGTTAGTTAGTTAGTTAGTTAGTTAGTTAGTTAGTTAGTAGTTAGTTAGTTAGTAGTTAGTTAGTTAGTTAGTTAGTTAGTTAGTTAGTTAGTTAGTTAGTTAGTTAGTTAGTTAGTTAGTTAGTTAGTAGTTAGTTAGTTAGTTAGTTAGTTAGTTAGTTAGTTAGTTAGTTAGTTAGTTAGTTAGTTAGTTAGTTAGTTAGTTAGTTAGTTAGTTAGTTAGTTAGTTAGTTAGTTAGTTAGTTAGTTAGTTAGTTAGTAGTTAGTTAGTTAGTTAGTTAGTTAGTTAGTTAGTTAGTTAGTTAGTTAGTTAGTTAGTAGTTAGTTAGTTAGTTAGTTAGTTAGTTAGTAGTTAGTTAGTAGTTAGTTAGTTAGTTAGTTAGTTAGTTAGTTAGTTAGTTAGTTAGTTAGTTAGTTAGTTAGTTAGTTAGTTAGTTAGTTAGTTAGTTAGTAGTTAGTTAGTTAGTTAGTTAGTTAGTTAGTTAGTTAGTTAGTTAGTTAGTAGTTAGTTAGTTAGTTAGTTAGTTAGTTAGTTAGTTAGTTAGTTAGTTAGTTAGTTAGTTAGTTAGTTAGTTAGTTAGTTAGTTAGTTAGTTAGTTAGTTAGTTAGTTAGTTAGTTAGTTAGTTAGTTAGTTAGTTAGTTAGTTAGTTAGTTAGTAGTTAGTTAGTTAGTTAGTTAGTAGTTAGTTAGTTAGTTAGTTAGTTAGTTAGTTAGTTAGTTAGTTAGTTAGTTAGTTAGTTAGTTAGTAGTAGTTAGTTAGTTAGTTAGTTAGTTAGTTAGTTAGAAAGTTTGGAAAAGTTTAGTTTCTTTTCAATCTATTTCAAAGAAATAGGGAAGGGACTTCTGTGGTCTTTCAATGCTTTGTTTGTCTTACAAAAAAGCAAAACTAACAATTTCTTCAAAACTAAAATTACAATATCAATGACCATACAAACATACTATATCAAAATATATTTACACTATTGAATAGTATTTTTTATATCCAATTACATTTTATATTATATTTTGTTAGCAAATTACTTTGCATTTATTAGATAAGAGCAACAAAATAAATAAAATAATAAATAAATGAATAAAATACGCATTAGACATTTGAGTCGGTTAGTAATTTGCTAAAATCACACACTTTATTACATAGACACTAATAAATAATTGAAATTAACAAATACTATTAGTGTAGAAAATATTAAGAGAAAAAAAAAACGACGTAATTACTTTGAAAAGCACAAACAAATAGATTAATGCAAAAAAAGATAATTTGAAAATGTTTTCGTGTGACAGTGTGAAATGTAATGGATCTCATGGAATCAGTGAGGGTATGTTGTTATTTTTTTTTTTTAACGAATGGCTTTAATTACGAACAGCTTTAATTTATTTTGTGAAAGAAAATATTGGAAATTTTGAAACAATGTGAAGAGGAGTATAACTTTCATTAGAATAAAACACAAATGTGGGTTTTATTTCATTAAAATTTAAACTTAGAACTGGAATTAATTTAATTGTTAATTAGGGAATCTTATTGTTGTTATGCGTATTGGAAAGCACATTCTAAGAAACTGCTGTAAGTCCATTCTCTATTTATCCTGTATTTCATTTTTGACGGTTACATCCTTTCAGCTTTTTTGAATAAACAAAAACTTTATTGCTTTCAACTTTTAAATCTTAATTTTATTGTTTAACTTGTTTACGCATCATTTGTTTAAAAACTAAATTCCTTCTTGTATTTTTTTTTTAATATAATTATGTTTATATGCAATAATTATTATTTAGTATACAAAGTAAAATTAAAAGTTTTTTAATTTAATTTCGTTTTGTTTTTTTCATTTTTGTTTATGTAACTTTTTTTAAATAATAAACTAATAATTTTCTTTAAATATTAATATATAAATAATTATGTATTTAAATGTTTTAAAAATGTTGGGCAAAAGGATTAAATAGTTAAAAGCGGCTTAAGGTTATTAATTAATAAATTTATTTAATATTTTATTGATATTTTTTTATTCGTTTTTTTTTTTTTTTCATTTAAAATTATAAAAATATATGTGATTTACTTAAATGTTTAAACAAAACAATAATAATAATTTCATTTCAAATAAAAACTTTAAATAACTAAAGGCTTTAAAAAAAAAAACAGTTAAAATAATAAAATATCTAGAGGAAAAATAAGAAGAAAATAAATCCTTGTTTTATAGAACAATAAATTTAATTTAAATTATAAAATTAAATTTCTCTAAAATTTGTGAAAATCAATTTACAATTTAATAATGTTTAAATTAAATTCATTTGGTTTTTAAAGAGAAGGTTAAAGAAATGCATTTTATAAACAAATAAAAGCAAAGCAGGCAGAGGATAGGATTAAGAGCAAAACATTTAAAGATTTGTAAAAAGTCATTAAAAATGTTTCTCTTTTTTATATTTTTTTCTTTGATGATAAATGTTTAACAATTTAACAAAAAAAATGCTTTATAAATGAATTGTTTAAAAAGAAATAAGAAAAAAGAACTTTGTGTAGAAGGAGTTTAGATAGTAAATTCGAAGAAATAGATAATTATTGTAATTAATATTCCATCATCATCAAGTTGGGAGTGCCCCGAAAAAAAAAAAAAAAAAAGGATAACCTAAAAATAGATGAAAAAATCTCTCTTTTTTGTTTAGAGGAAGAGAGAATTTCTAGAAAAAGGAGGAGCGAGCGAGCGAGCGAGCGAGCGAGCGAGCGAGCGAGCGA